TACTTGGTTACAGTATGTAAGCATTTATGGGAGTATCTGTACTGTACTGGAGTATTTGTATTCAACTTTCACTTTTCCTCCACTACATTTCTGCTAGATAAAGTGTATGCTTTTCCTCCATTACATTTCCCCTAAGCATCTTAGCTACAAAGTAAAATCAGAGGAAATTTGGTGGCTTGCAAGTCAAATTAATCAGGATCCACAAACCATTCCAGTTGGTGGCAGTAGTGCACCATATCTTTGTTTTCCAACTGCTATGAAACTCCAAGGAAAACAGAAATTATTATTTCCAGGTGATTATACACTAAAAAAAACATACTTACTGTATTATACTCCATTTCTGTCAATGCACTCACTGGCCACGTTATTAGGTACACCTTGCTGGACCCCCTTTTGCCTTCAGAACTGCTGTAATGCTTCGTGACATAGATTCAACAAGGTGCTGGAAACATTCCTCAGAGATTTTGCTCCATATTGACATGATAGAATCACACAGTTGCTGCAGATTTGTAGGCTGCACATCCATGATGTGAATCTCCCATTCCACCACATCCCAAAGGTGCTGTATTGGATTGAGACCTGGTGACTGTGGAGGCCATTGGAGTACAGTGAACTCATTGTCATGTTCAAGAAACCAGTTTGAGATGATTTATGACATGGTGCAGTGATCAAATGAGAAACAAAACAAAAGGAGTGCTGTCCAAAAAGGGACGTTTTTAGTTACAGATAAAACTGAGGAAAGTTGAAGTCGACTGTACTGGGTCTGTTAGTACTGACCGAGGCTGGATGTGGATCTACTGAGTCTGTGATTGATGGTCCAGCATATCCTCTATTGACAAACTGAAGCATATAGCAGCACTTGTTAATGATAGACAACAACACTGTTACCCCGGACTTCTTTTTATACATTTTCAAATATGAAACAATTTGTAATATTGTTATGTGCAGCAGCCTGTTCTCTCCCTGTCTCTCTGCCTGCCTCGCACCTGAGTGCAATCGGCACTCGGGTAAAGAGAGGAAGAGGGGATAAGAGGGACAGGGATTATAGATACAGGGAGGCATGGCACATGGCACAGCACATGGCTCGCAAACAGCAGATGTGTTGAGTTGTGATTTGTTGTTTTAGTTTGTTCTGTTAGTTTTGGCTGGAGATTGCCTGGTAGTCACGTTATTCATCTCTTTTGTTTTCTTTAGGTTTAATTCATGTTTTAGGTAGTTTAGGGGGAGACGCTGGAGCGACGGCCCACTACGTGGTTGGCCCAGCGTCTCCCCTCCTTTTGTTCCTTTTGGCCGGGGTCTCCCTTTTTGTTTTCTTTTAGTTTGTTTGTGCCTTTGCTTAATATTTTGGGGTATACAATAAAGCTGGTGGGTAGACTGTTACCTTTGATGTGGCGTCCTCTTTTAATATGTTGCAGCCTCCTGCCCCTATTGAGCCGGGGTTTTTTCTGTTTGTATGGAGGCTGTAAGAAATAGGGCTTGGCTGAATACTTGACGGATATTATTAACAGAGCCCAGCTAACCAACAGTTTAAATTCAATATTTAATCAATAGTCAGTGTCAATACATTGTTTTCCTTCCTGCATGAGTTGTAACTAACCCTTGACAAAGAGCCTAGACTATCATTGTCTAGTTTTCAAATGATGTGCAGCTGTGAGGATTGCCGCCACACTCATATTAGCCTGGATTTGTCACAGACTGCGGCCTGATGAGCTCAGTCAGAATGCAAAAAGACAATGAAAGGGGAAGTGGCCAAGAAGTGGGCAATTATCTGGCCAAAAAAAAGTGAAGAAGTACCAGGTGTGACAGGCAGCTGAAGATTTCAGTTCTGCACATAATTTGACCAAATTGATCAGCTGCAAAGTAGCCTCAAGATTGAATAAATAAATGTAGAGAGAAAAAAAACATTCACTACTGATTTGACTGTATGACTTAATAGGCTACCTTGCAGTAATTTCCTCAAAAAATGTTTGAGTTTATGTTTCTCTTATCATTAATTGGAGGGCATTTTTTCATCCCAGGAGACACACGAGAGTATATCCAGAACTCATAATGATAATTATTATTATTATGTAGAAATATGATTAATGGATTATAATGGATTATACACACAGTAAGGCAGGGCAAAACACTGGTCATCTACACACATTATTTTTTATAATAGTAATACACTTTATTTATATGGCACCTTTAATACAAGAAATGCAGCAAAAAGTGCTTTACAATAAGGGCAGTATAAGCACTGAGTGCTTCACATACAAACAGATATAATGGACATAAAACAGAACTGAAGACTTTAAAAGAGTTGCAGCAGCGTGAAGCGTAAATAGAAAGTAAAAGCGTAAATAGAAAGAGTTTCAGACCTGTATCAGGAAGTCAGAGCTAGTTAAAGGCTAAAGTGAACAGACATGTTTTTAGCTTTCTTTTAAAAAATATTTAGTGAGCTAGCTTCCCTGATATCTATAGGTAGTATGTTCCATAGCTTTGGAGCGTAGTTGACAAAGGCTGCATCCCTCAACTTCCTCCGGCTGTTGCTGGGAACCTCCTATAAACCAGCAGCAGATGATTGCAGTGTTCTTGGAGGCAAATATTTAACAAGCGAGTGAGCCATGTAGCTTGATCCCAGCCCGTGTAGGGCTTTGTATACAAGGAAGAGGAGCTTAAAATCAATTCTAAATGTAACAGGAAGCCAGTGCAGAGCAGCTCAGACTGGCCTGGTGTGATCTCTCCTCTTGGTTCTGGATAATAGCTGAGCTGCAGAGTTTTGAATGAGCTGAAGTCTCTCAGTGGTGGTTTTTGGGAGGCCAGTAAAAAGTGTTGTTACAGGGGTCGAGTCAGCTTGAAATAAAGGCATGAATCAATTTCTCAGCATCTTTTTAATTCAGAAATGGTCATACCTTAGCTAAGTTTCATCACCTTGTTAATGTGGGACTTGAAGCTTAGATCTGAGTCAAGGATCACACTAATAAGACATGTAACCTCAGATCTAATCTGGGGAGTTAGATTCCCCAGATTCTTAACCAGCATTTCTCTTTTTGTTTTAGGGCTGACAAGCAGGATTTTAGTTTTATCATCATTTAACTTTAAGAAATTTTTACTCATCCATTTATTTATTGCCAAAAGACAGGTAGTAATGGAGTTTATGGCTGCAGCAGCATTTGGCTCAGCAGAGATGTACAGTTGCGTGTCATCGGCGTCACTATGGAAACAAACATTGTGTTTTCTAATGGTGTCACCAAGCATGTAAAGTGAGAATAATAATGGACCGAGGCAGCTCCCTTGTGCAACCCCAAAACAGAGGTCATGTGTCTCAGACATGTGGAACACTTCCTCCCTTTAATATATGTTTTGAACCAGTTTAACACACAGTCAGAAAGACCGACCAACGTTTCAAGACGATTGATTAAGATGTCTCGGTCAGTCATACCAAATGCTGCGCTTAGGTCTAAGAGGACAAGAACTGAGACCTTATTTTCATTAATCAAATCACTTGATAACTTATCACTCTATTTTTCCTTCTTCCATTTTTAATTCGTAAGAATTTTGATTTCTCTATTTTTTCCAATTATTCTTGTTACTTCCACCTTTGAGGTCACTTTCCTTAAATGATAAATGGCATCATTGTGTTGTGAAAAATGTTTTCATCACAGCTGTTTAATCAAATCGGCTTTAAATTAATCAAATCACTTATAATTTATCACTCTATTTTTCACATCCATGTTTACCACTCTATTTTTCAATTCACATGCATTTTCATCACTTCTCTTTTATCACTTAGTTTTAATTACTACGTTTCAAATACCTTCTGTGTAATGAAGCGTATTTCTGAAACAGAACTGTTTCATTAGAGTATTTTCTGCAGATATTAGCAGTTCTCTATAATCTCATACACTGAACCCCTGACAATGTCTTTTTAATATACTTATTACACCGACAGTACAGAGATAAAACAGAAGAAATCAAGCTGAAACACTGATGATTAAGACCAAAGTTTACAATAAATACATACAACTTTTAACATGATGAAATTCACACCGTCTTTCTGTGTTTGTGGTCGTGGGAACTTCCTGGCGATTGATTGACTAACTGATTATAAGATCCATTCATCAGCAGTGATTAACTCACACTGTAACGACTGTGTTTAATCTCATCCAGACAGAGACTGTTAATTGTTCCTTTGATGATGACAAGGTCAGGCCTTCGGTCTGCGCTGCAGGATTGGCTTTAAAAATGAAGGAGCCTGACCACCTCTCATTCAATGGTGGATCTTCAGCGGACAAACCAGAGGCGAGGAGAGACAACACTGTGACCTGTTACAGCTACCAGGTAAAAAACTATTTGTGAGAATCCTACAGTTTAATATTGCGTTTTTCCTTTAATGTGTTGCTTTCATCTGGTATATTTTTCACTTCACAGATTGTTCCAGTTCAAGCACATTTGCTGTCATGGGTAACTCAGCATCCAGCACCTTCATCACTCCTACTCCCAGGAAACTGTCCTGGGGTCACCTGAAAGAGGACACAGTCAAGCTGGAGGACATCTTGACGCAACGTGAAGAGGATCTCTGGAGAGTTAAAGGAAAGCACATTCTATCTGTGAAAAAGGTCAACCTCACTCGCAGCATCCGTTACATGGACCTAGCTGTCCAAGAGGGTGACAGCTTTTCTCCAGACAAGAGAGAAATGCTGAACCCTGCTTTTGTTGGAGATCAAGGTCCATGAAGGACTGAATTCAGTGAGGACAATTGAATCTAGCTGCAAACAGCTCCTGCAATGGCACTGCAAAAGAAACACCTTCTGCTAAGACCATTACCACCTCAGGACGGTGGGTGTGAACTCAGAAACGGGAAGTGAGGCATCAGTGTACATTCAAAGTGAGATAGTTCCATTTTGTGTGAAATGAAGGTAAAGTGAAACTTTTTTTTCTGCAGGGGGTGTGAATTGGTCAAACTGATTGGGTGCATATCAGCTGTCATAGTTTAGAGCAGATCACACATGCATCACCTCATGTTGTAGCTGTATGCTGAACAGAACAAAGGAAATCCTGTCGTGACAACTCTGCACCTGTGAGACACACTTCAAGGTAAACTAAAGGTTATTTTTCCTAAGAAGATAAACTACAAAGACGTATCATTTGGTTTGGTGTTAACGTGTCATTGCTTTTAATCAGCACTTGCTGTTCAAGAAATGTTTCTCCTTTGTACACCATGTACTGTATAACACTGTATTCCTAACACATTGTCAAGGTATATTTGATCTTTTCTCTGATGCAAATATAGTTTGCAACTAACATGTAAGCAAGCTTGTTGGATAAATGTGTTCAACCTTTCAGCTGACACTGTTTTGGCCTCTTCATTTAGTTTTAGTATAAAAATGGGTCATGGTGCTCTGTGGTCTTCTCTGAGGTTTAGCCACGGTTCTTCATGTCGCTAAGAGAACGAACATATTTACACACAGCCTGTGCAAATGATACATAATATATTAGAATGTCTCCAAAATAGTCTATCATTAACATGTAATATAAAAAAGTGACTCTGCCACTGTTAGGCAAATTATTCTTGTGCATAATTAAGATTTTTTTTTTCCCTTAAGATATTTTTTTCTGGCATTTTTCCTTTAATGGACAGGACAGATAAGCGTGTAAGGGGAGAGAGAGAGAGGGGATGACATGCAGCTAAGGGCCACAGGCTGGATTTGAACCCAGGCTGCTGCTGCAACAGCCTTGTACATGGGGCGCCTGCTCTACCCACCAAGCCACCAATGCCCCAATTAAGCCATTTTAAGCGTCACTGTTTCAGTGATCAGTGCTTCTTTAAATGTAGGTGTTCTTGAGATGTGTCCATAATTAGTCATACTAAAACAGCCTGAGCAGATCAGATTAAAACACACAGGGGACAGAAGCAGCTAATGGAATCAATAGGTCAGTTTTAAACAACAGAACAGATGTGGATCTCTGTTATTGGTGATTTACATCTCCACAGAGTGGATAGTTTATTCTCTATCTTAACCAAAGGCAGAACTACGGTGATATCAGAGTGGTTCAACAATAAATAATGGCTGGGATATTATGTAAACAGATGCATTATTTTATTATGTTTGCCATAATTACAGAATTTGAAGTCATTTTTCTGAACCAGACACAGTTTGTAACTAACAAATGGTTTTGGCCTCTTCATTTAATTTTAGTGCAAAAATGAGTCATAGTGCTCTGTGGTCACCTCTGAGGTTTGGCCAATGCTTTTGTCTTGTTGTCTTTATTCAGCTGAAAGCACAAACACATTCTCACACATGTGCAAAAAATACACCATAATTTATCAGAAAATGAAACCACATTAGTCTATCATCACACATTATTTTAAAAAGTGACATTCTCACTGTTAGGCGAATTAATATCATGCATAATTAAGCCATTTCCAGCCTCATTGTTTCAACAATCAGTAAAGGGAGCTCCTCTCATTGAACTCAGAGTCGTCTTGCAACAAACAAATGGCCCATTGGCAGTATTTTAAGTAGGGGAGACTGGGGTTGGTTGTCACAGTACTTATTACAGCTACATTAGAGGGCGGTGTGACATTGTGTTGATATCAAACAGTTGGTGTCCTGCTTAGTTTTGCACTGGTACTTTTGTGGAACACACTAAACACTGAGGTGGAGAGATGTTTTGTCATTTTTATGGGTCAGAGTAATTTTTCACGTTGGTGTTGTTTTTGTATTTGTATTAAAAGCTTGTAGGTTATTAGTCATTGAAAAATCATACACTTGTAAAAAACAACAAAAAAAAAACAAAAAAAAAAAGTCGAAAGTAATACGTTTGATTTGGGTCAACATTAAGCGAGCAAGCTAAAGCCATGTGGTAGCTAGCTTAAAATGTGACTTTTCAGAAAGACAGTCTACATGGCTAACATGTTGTAGTCCATATGTGCTCAGGTGTTTTTGACTATGCACATACACAGAGGGAGAGAGAGAGAGAGAGAGAGAGAGAGAGAGAGAGAGAGAGAAGCCCCTTTTACACTGCCAGATTTTCCGCGAATGTTGGGCCGTTTTGCCGGCCAGCTGCGAGCGTTTAGACACACAGAGTCGGATTGGCGAGTTGATTCGAGGCGCCCAATTTTCCTTCCGCAACAGGAGGGGCTGTTGAAGACTTGTGGGAGGAGCTGTTGATGATGCAGCACATGCAACCCACTGGCGGTGGATAAACAGGAAACAGCTGATAGCAGGAATTAGCGAGCAGTTAGTAGCAAGAGGGAAACGCAAACCTGACAGACACTGGAAAGATGGGCAACTGGGGAGACAAGGCATTGCACGCCCTCCTTGCCCTCGCAAACGAAGAGGCCATTAACCGTCAGATGACGGGGACGATGAAGAACGGGCTGATTTATGAGAGAATTGCCGCCTGACTATTGCCGCCTGGCTAGCCATGGCTTCCCTCTAACGTCACTGTTTACTAACACGCTGAGCCACACGTTTTGTTACTTGCTCATGCCCCCCATTGCCCTGAAAAAGGCGCATTCTGTATGAACAAAAGTAGGTAGGCGGCATTTTGCCGCACTCCCCGATTTTGTTTTTATACTGCCAATGCTGAAAAAAGACTGATTGGGCTTTCCTGCAAATTTGCACAATTCCTATCTAAAAAGGGCTAGAGAGAGAGTGTGTTGCTTTAGTTCCTCAATAGAAAACAGTGTTGTATCTGAACTGTTACGTACTTCAACCTAGGCTGTTTGACATTTTAACAAAAGTTCCTGGTCATATTGTGATGGAGATTAATCTCGTCTAATCTTACTGTTTCATTTAATGTTATATTCTGTATGAACTGTTATGAAACAATGGTTTTAATAAAGGCTGCATTTTTTCAGAGCTCTAAATTCCATTATTTTACTTCTCATAACAGAGGATAATTCAAACAAACAATCACCAGGTTCAAGCTCATGGTTTAAACACAAGGGGCATTGATTGATTATAGAGGTGGGATTCATTTCAAAACTTATTTGGTGTTTTTATCTTAAAAAACTAAAAAGTTACACTTTTTTTTCCTGAAATCACATTGATAACTTTAGGGACAACCGACCCACGATGGGGTTGGTGTCTTTGATGATTAAAACCTGTTGTTACAATAAGTTACAAACATTAAAGGGATAATCCATTCAAGCAAAGACCTTAAGCTTTCCTTTAATGTAGGAATGACCATTGACAGATATTTTGATGACGAGCATTCACACAAGAGTAAGTGTGACAACCAACCCTACTCACACCGTCAGTGAGGCTACAAACTTGTTCATGCATTTATTTCAAGCTCTAACTACCATAATGCTCTCTTCCAAACCAATCTATTGATAAACTACAGTTATTTCTGAACTCACTGTTGCCATGCTTTTATCCAAACCATGAAAGAGGAAGCATATCACTGCAGTTTTAGCCAACCAGCACTCGCTCTCTGAGTCTTTTAGGATTGATTTCATAGTTCTTTTAGTTGTTTACAACGCTCTCAGTGGTTTAGGACCTGCCTACATTACTAATTCTTTGTTGTTTTACAATCCCTCACAGCCTCTTAGATCCTCTGCTGCCATTTAATATGCAAACTATCACACAAAGAAGAAAATCGGCAGCTCAGCTTTGTTCAACCACCAAAATGTGATTCTCTACCCAAGGCTATGAGAGATGCAAAGTCTGTGAACATTTATTATTAGTAGTAGTATTATAATTATTATACCCAATATCAAATTAATTATTAAAGGGCCAGGTTACAGGGATTGTCAGTAACGATGAGCTTAAAGAGTCCTGGCCTCACGAGGAGGGAAACGTATCTTACGAAAATAAAATTGGAGAAGTTATGATTACCAAAATAAATCAAATATCCAAAGAAGGAAGTGAGAGCAGCTGAATGGCACACCTAGTGATAAAGCCGAGGGCTGTGGTCTCAGATGCACAACAGAAATAGGATTGAAAACAAAATGGAAAAAAATAAGAGCCAATTAGACACTTAGACCTCTTAATAAAAGTGATTAAAACTTGAAAAATATATGGGTTAGGTGGGTAGAGTTTAGAGCACAAGACATGCTTAAAAAAAGATTAGCCATGATTAATACAATGGACTTCCCCAATATGGGTCTGATGGGACAAAAGTCAGTTTTTGTGTGTAATGCAGTGTATGCGTGCTGTATTAAAAGTGGAATGGAAACTAGACAAGTCATCTCTCACCAGAAGGAAATGACAGTGGCACCTGACCTGACTGAAAATATCTGTCACTTCATTTGCAGGTCTGAACCTGAGAGGACGAGATGGATGCTTTGACATGGGCTCTGTTTTTTGTGTGTTTTTGCTGTAGAGGTATGGTGCATTCTCTCCTCTTTAATCTTTTCTGCTCACAAGAAGTACAACTAATCAGGCAGATGTTTGTCTTTTTGTTGTGTTGTTTTGTTTTTGCTCAGTCCAAGAATTTTATCTTTAGGTGAATTTGTGTTTTATTTTATGCATCTTTCTTGCCTCTACTTCATCTGTCTTTCATTTAGTCACATATTCCTCTGCATTTTACCACAGTTACTCAAACTGAAGCCTCGTCTTGGTCAGCCACGGTGCCGTCCTCAGTTGAAGGCCTCCTTGGATCCTGTGTGGAGATTCCCTGCTCATTTGACTACCCAAATGCAGACAGGCAGATCACTGGATTCACTGGGATGTGGACTGATGAGGCACATCAGCTCATTTATCACCCAAACGAGTCAAAAATGATGCAGCGGTATCGGAATCGGACACGGCTGCTGGGAGACGTCAGACAGAAGGGCTGTTCACTGAAGATTGATCCCCTTCAACAAAGTGACCGAGGGCCTTTTTATTTCAGGATCGAATTAGGAGACTATGAAAAGTATTCCTACAGGGAGAAGCCAGTCTCCATTGCAATAAAGAGTAAGTAATGTGAACAACTTTCTTGGATGATATAGTTAATGCCAGCATTTTCCCATAATTCTTTTTAATTCCAGTGTTGTAGCTGGTGAACATGGAGTCAAGAAAATCAGTGATTACTTTCCTCATGTTATTGACTTGATGTTTTCTACTTCAGATCTTATATTATATTTGTACAAAGGGCCAAGACTCTAAAGAACACTTTACTGTGATACGAGCGGTGTTAACCTCAATAGTTTATATCAGTTGTCTTGTATTTAAATGATGAATTTGTCACTTCAACAAAGTACTCTGAAAGTACAACAGAGTTGGTAACAATGGTGATTTAAGTTTCACTTGTCAAGAACTGTCCGATTCCCAGTTCCTTATTTGTGCTATTGTAACTGGTTGACCTCCCCTCGCTTTAAATAACTTTGATCACAACACAGTGGACACCCAGTTTCATTTCTCTACATAGATGTTTGACATTGAGGCCAAGTGCCATTTTGAGATGTCCTGCATGTTAAATCCTGTGCCTGAAGCAGTTCAGTCAACATGTTTATCTGATACGGTGAAATAATTCATTGCAACATTGCTGCGGTTAACGTCTGGTTATGTTTAGGCACAAAAACCACTTGGTTATGGTTAGTATAAGACCATGTGTTGACCTAAAACACCCACTATCGGTGGTGCTGCTGATGTCTCACTTAAAGCACCTGTTTTGTTTGACGGTCTCAAACAGTGGTCTGCAGTTTGGTAGCCACCTCTCACCTAAGAGTCATGCCCTCCACCCTCCCCTTCACCTCCCGATGACAAAGTCAGCTCATATACATGTAATCAGAATGACGTCAGTTTAGAAACATTGATATTTAATATATGTAAAATGTACAAATGTAACATATCTGTGGTTTACAGCTGAACCAAAGCCCATCAGTTTCTCTGTGAAAGAGGAGGCAGTGGAGGGTCAAACTGTGACTGCGTCCTGCTCCGTATCGCACTCCTGCCCCACCTCTCCTCCTGTCTTCACCTGGAGTCACCCTGGACAGGAACATTTCCAATCGCAGCAGCTGGATGCCAGCCAGTGGAAAGCAACGTCTACTCTGACCTTTCACCCTACCAGCGCCGATCACAACAAGCCTTTACAGTGCACGGTAACGTACAAGGGAGGGCAGCACCACAAAACATCCAAGGTCCTCAAAGTCAAATGTAAGTGTATCTGGCAATTTAAAGAATTAGAACAACCTGGTGCAAGAAAGCACCAATAAAACGAATAAAGATGAAAAGACAGACCAACAGTTTGGTGTCATATGTTACATATACTGTGTTTAGGGTTTTTTTTTCACCAAACATGGAAGCTCTTACCAACACACATACATTAAAATATAGTAGCTTCTTAGTCACTGTCGGGGAATTTACAGTCATCATGTATTCATCTGCACTGGAAAAAGAGCATTGCACGGTTTCCTACTGTCATTTATCTCGGATGAGCTGGCTGCATGAGGGACAGTAAATTCTGTCATCTGCACCACCATGGTCTCATGAACTGTATGTTTCGATGCAGACGCTCCAGTGAACGTGAAGGTTGAGCACAAGACCGATGTAAAGGAGGGGGAAGCTGTGCAGCTGAAATGCTCCTGTGATGCCCACCCTCCTGCCAGCAGCTATGTGTGGCACAATGAAACTGGTGCTCAGCTGCATCAAGGAAGCGTCTACATGCTGTCAAATGTCACCAGACACACAGGGGCCCTGTACTGTACTGCCGTCAATACAGTCGGACAAAGCAAATCAAGCCCTGTGCAGCTCAATGTGTTGTGTAAGCAAGCAATCAAAGAAATGTAACAATAAAGAAGAGATTTTCTATGTAAACATTTATAATAGAAGCATGGCTAAGTCATAACTGCATATCTTGTGCTTACAGATGCCCCTGAGATCAGGGCAGCCTCCTCTTGCTCCTCAGAGGCAGACATGGTAAAGTGTGTGTGCATTGCAGAGTCCAAGCCTCCCAGCATGGTTCATTTTTTGCTTTCTGACAAAGTCCTGCCGAGCACCAGGGTGGAGAAACATGGCTCCCTTACCATCGGGACTCTGCAGGCAGAGTTGGGATCCTCTGAGGTTGTCTACTGTCTGGCAGACAACACACAGGGCAATGCCACCCTCACACTCTCTCTACCTGTTAACAGTAAGGATGTTTTTTCTTTTAGAATTTCTAGAGTGTGTGACAAACACCTGACGACTGAAGGCATGAATTTTTGTATTGAGAAATTCTAAAAGATAACACTACGTGGTTTCTGTTTGGACAGGTAAGATGCAGAATCCTTACATCATCATCGCCACTGTAGCTGGTGGGATTTTGGTGATGCTTTTGATAACGGTGAAAGCTGTTCAGAAATAGTAAGTTGGTGTCGGAAATGTTTCATTTAAAGCACAAAACCATTGTTTCTCTTTTGAGTTGTGTTTTTGAAGTATAGCTTTGAAGTCTGAGTGCGATAAGACATTTTTACAGTTACAAACATACATCCGAAAGAAAGTCATGCGTGTAGAGAAGAGCAGTGGTCCCCAACCCATTTCCTTCAGGACACCCTGTTATATCATTGGGCAAACTGATGACCCCTGACTAAGTGACATATTTTATGGGTATTTTATAACATATTCAGTGCGTAACAGTAACAGTACAGAACAAAAGATAAACGGTGCAATTAAACCAAATTCCTGCCTGCAGGAAGTTTATGTAAAATAAGCAACTAAGATGAATTTTGAGCAGATTATTTTCTGTGAATATTGTCAGAGATGAGTTTTCCTGATTTTATATTTCTTAACAACCACACATACTTAAAAGGCTTCTTTTTTGAGGAATCCAGTGATTTCCTTTTTTTCTTGACCATTGTTCTATTCGCTCTTTGGTTGTTTTCAGTGCATACTTTTCCTGAAGTCAGAATAAACCAAACGTTTTACTGACTTTAGCAAAAATGTGCAAATAAACAGGGACTGGAGATGCTTGCAGAAAAGAAAAAAAATCAGTAATAGTCCAATAAATACAAATACCAGTAAGGGGGAATCAAATTACTGTTTATTACAAGTGGCTTAAAATAGTTATTATCCAAAATCTGAAACCACAATTAGATACTTCATCCAGTCCAACACAAAATTAGACTAAACGAAATTATGGGAAGTGAGCAGAGGCCATTCGTGGAGAGGCAGACTACACTGAGGAGTGCCCCGGGGTGCCACCACCTATTCACCTCAGGTGCATCGCAGCAATAGTCACAGCAAAATGGTGCAATCTACACTTGTGTCCTGGTGCTTTTACTCACATGCCTTAAGGAGGCACTCGGCTTAACTGAAAGAAAAGAACTTGTACAAATAGAATTGCAAACACAATTAAACAACACAGTTGGTTGAATAACAGCACAGTAAGTATAAAACGGCAAAACAAAGCAGCAGATAAACCTACAAAAGATAACCTGCCTCCTGAAACACACTGCATTAAAGTAGCACCCCACCACACAGGCCTGCTGTTCATTTATTTTTACGTTTTCTTACACCCATTAAAATCAAGAAGGCCTTGCACCCTGTGTGAAACTTTGGCAACCCCTGTAAGGGTCAGGACCCCCACATTAGGAACCAGTGATGTAGAGGTATTTGAGTGGAGCAGATGGTGCAGATGCAAATTCTTACAGGACATGACAGCCTGTGTTCAGTGGTGGTGAAAAGTATCAGTAGATTTTTTTTCCAGGTTCATAAATTAAAAACCATTATTCTGCCAGCAGGGGGAGATCTGAGGTCGCAACAACACCTCACATGAGCTCCGTGAAGGCAGACAAAGATTTGGCGCTCCCTCAGTATGCTGCAACAAAAAGGTTTGGGTCAGTCACCTCAGTATAAACCAAAATATCAGTGTCAAACCCTGTATTGTCCTGTGTGTGGTAAATATATAAAAAAAACATGTTGGTTTTCTGCGTTCTGTCCTCAGAAAAGATAAGAGCTATGATGATGTGCACTGCTCTGAACTTTATGGCAATGATCATGTTTATGGCAACATGGAGGTATGCTAATTATTTTTGTAATTCATTCCTTGTTTCCATGCATGAGAGAAGAGAGTGAGTTAATCTTGTTTTCTTTACAGACTGACTGGGATGATGCGATATACGCCAACGTGTAAGGTCAGTCAACTCGGAGGAGGAACAGCTGCAGCCCCTCTTTGCGATGTCCAGCTGATGTGGGTCAAAAAAGTTGTAAAAACAGTATTGATATGCTATTTCTGTATATATGACATATGCCTTATTTTTCTGTCTGCTGTAATTCACATATATATATATATATTTTTTAAAGTTGTTCATGTTATTTTTTCTCATCTAGAACTTTTCCCTTACGGTTCATCTCATCAACAGCAACTTATGTGTTGTGACAAATCACTATTAAACTGTAATCTTTTCTTGCAAATATGTTTGATAATTCTTGCTTTATTAGTCATCATCTGTAGTCAAAATGCACTGCACAAGAAACACCCATTGAATTTCCTCTTTAGCAGGAACAATTGCTTTATCAGGGTGATAGATAAGAACAGTTTTGAAATACTGACTTCCTGCTGAATAAGGGAAACTGTAAAATTCAGCATACGTGTTGACCTATTTATGTACTGAACATATGCACTGAACATGTACGAGCACTTGCATTTTGGGAAGGATACTTTTAATGCCATAGCTGATTTGATGAGTATGAGAAAGCTGTTACTGTAAATGTATCTATATGCAAGGGTGTGTCTTTGGTTTGAGATGTGGGGGGAGACACAAAATGTCAGTAGCCTCCCTGTAATGTGAGAGGGGCATGATTTTTGTCCGTCATCACCCAACCCAACCCCTTCAAGTGGATTGGTCCGTCATGTAATGTCAGAAGTCAAGCAGGAAATAAATTAAATCAAGACAGAAAGAGTGGTGTAGGTGGAATTTAAATACAAATTAGATGGATAAAGATACTAACCAATAAAAAGGTGTAGCCAGGGATGTAGCACCAAATTCTGGGCCCATGCCTGTGCATAAGCAGCTCCTCTATGTCAACTGTGTCACCGCGCAGTGATCGGGAAAGCCACTCTGATCACTGAGGGCCCCTCTCACCCCCCGCAGCACTCCTTCCAGTTACTGGCATAAGCCAGACGCTACAAAGTCCCACTGGCTCAGAAAACATCTACAAGAAATCCTTCATTCCCTCTGCAATAACCACCCTGAACAATCTAAAATAGACTCTGTACTTTAACCTGCTTTTATCAGTTGCTGTTTTAACAGGCCTTTAAGAAGTCTGTTGGGACAGACAACAAAGCTAACTAAACCATTTTGCTCACTTAATGTTTGAAAGTGGCCTCAGAGAGCTTACGTTATTTTTTAAATAGAAAGTTCAGTCTTTACTGATTTACTGAGCCAATTTTATTTAATTTACAACACAAATTACTTAAAAATAAAAAAAAATTGCAAACATAATCAAACTTTTCATTCCAGGCTTTTCAAGAGCCACTGGGGCCCTGGGTAATTAGTCCTAATTTTCCTCCCACTACAGTGCTCCTGGGTGGAGCAGAAAAGGTCAGGGAAGCAGCGGAGAGAGGAAAATGGCCAGGGTTGAATGTTGTTCTGGGAATTTATGCTAAATGATAATCATCATTCAGAAGTTTGTCAGAATAGTACTAACTATAATATGCTACTCCTCAGATATTCACACAGAATCTGACGGCTGACCAAACTGTAGTGTAGACCTATTCATAGCCCAGCTACAGGTGGGAACTGACACCCGGAATTAAGCGGGCCGTGGCAACATTTATAAAGACCATAGTATTAATAGGCTCTGATGTTACCAGTTCTTTCATCAGTACTTTTTAAAGTTATGGTTTCATTTATCATCACACTGCAGCCTCTCTCTCCTGTTCTCGACACACACACACACACACACACACACACGGCAAAGTAAAGTCAGTCAACAGTAAAGAGGCCATGGTGCTCTTTTTTATTCTGTTTCTGCAGTTTGATATGTGACTAAATACATATAATGTTTTTATTCTAAATGTGACACAACACATATTGCTATTTCTACTAATTCAATTTGCATTTGTTAAAAATGCATCATTACCAAAAGCTAAAAAAAGTTTTCAACAGGTTGCTTGTTGCTGAAAATGTCTGGTGCATCGACATTTTCTGGTTTCAAAATCCGGCCCAATTGAATTTGTACTTGAATAGCCCTGCTGTAGTGTATTACATTTTTGAAAGTGGATGGGACACAAACAGAATTTGAAAAGGATGGTCCTCAGTGGGCACTTATGTGTACTTATGTGTAAATACATGCAGCCCGGCTGACTGTTTTCACTCATTAATCAACTAAAACTACTGACAAAGTGAGAATAATTTGTGCATGCCCAGGTCAGTGTGGAAAAACCCTTGTGTGGCTTGAAAGTGTGTTAATGATAACGTGACAGGAAGTCAAAGGGGAAGCTGGTCACCATCTTAGCTGAAGTGATCACACATTATAAACACCAGCATCCTCCCACATCGGTACAAGCCTCAGACCTCAAATGAAAATGAACTGGAAACCCAAATTCACTTTGGTAGATAGAGAATTCCTCGGATAACAGCCCAAACACCTTTGTAATATTGATAAAAATGTGATTATCGTTGAATTTCTGTAGCATATAGTTCATTATAGTCAAGGCATCTTTCCCCTGCACCTGCCGTTTTTATGTGCTCTGACTTATATTGCTGTGTGAAAATGATTTAACAACACAAACAGAATGAAACTTGTGTGCTAACAGCTAATTTAGCATTCATTAGCTTAAAAAATCATCATATTAAGAAAATATTTGTAATAAGAGAAACCTGCAATTTTCTTTAGAATGTAGAAATGTTGAAGGAATCAGATAATCGTCATTTGTTATCTTGAACTCCTTGGGAAGTTCAATCTCATAGGTGCCTTGATATTTAATATAGTTTATATTTAAATAACTTTTAAATATTTAATTCTATGAACAATTGTAAACAGTTGAAAAAACATATGAATAACAAATGTGCACCATGCATGCTCTTGAGGACCGACATCTTTTCCCATCTTACTCTCTTGTTTTTACATTGAAATTGTATTTAATGTTAATCAGACACAATGAATAATATTGACTGAAGTCTTACACACACCAGAAATAACTGACCATGACAGTCTTTATTCTTTATACTTTATTCAGGATCCCCATTAGTTGTTACCGCAGTAATGACAACTCTTCATGTTGAAAACAACAGAAAACAAGACAAAATGTTAAATCGTAGACAATTTACAACATTGACAAATTTAAATAAAACCCAAACAAGTGAGATAACAAGTAGTTATCTTACATTTACAGTGTCATCACATCAGTAGATCACAAAAGCAAACCAACAGATCCCATAACCCAGGCTCATAGTTTACGTAACTGCATGAACTATATGTGGTTGTACACTGAGGCATCACCCAAATGAGCGCCACAAATACACATAGCCTTCACAAACATTACATCATATGCTGGTAAAACAGACTTCTGTTTTGATAATCGCCGTTCTTAGTTTCTTTTTAAAAGTAATCCTACTAGTAACCTGGGTGAAGTATAGCGGTAGTTTATTCCAAATCGACATGGCTCCGTACATTGCAGTTTTCTTTAATGCACTGGTCTCCGTTAAGTATAGCGTAAAGCTTCTCATGCAGGCATGTCTGGTTTCATGATGGTGTCTATCAACAGTGTGTGTTAGCTGTGAATATAGGTGTGTAGGTTTTCTTAAGGCACAGATGTTTCTTGTCTACTGAATCAGGCTGTATGCCAGTCTGTCCTCCACCCTCATCCACACTGTTCCTCATAGCAGCTTTGTTTTGAACGAGCTTAATTTTATTAAGGTCTTGTTTTGAGTCACCAGCCCAGATTGCTGAACAGTAGTCCAGGTGTGATGAGACTAAAGACTGTACGACTTGTTTAACTGTCATCTGTGTTAAAAAGTAAGCACACTTCCTGATAACTGAAATGCCTCTACTCATTTTGGCAACCACGTTATTAATGTGAGCTGACCATGAAAGTGTTCCCTCAAGTGTGACACCCCAAAATTTGGCCTCTTTAACCTGCTCAATAGCCACACCATGCAAAGAGATGCACAGCTCTTGACGTGCCCAGCATGCCTGGAGCCAAATATCAAACCTATCCTTTGGTTTTGAGATATTCAACATTTTTTCAGAAATCCATTCATAAACCTGCATCAGCTATTCTTGAAGTGTTTTATTAACCTCCTCTGCATTTTTTGCAGATCTGAAGCATCTTGACACGTGAAATCGTTCACCATGCAGAGTGAAAGGTGATGTTCAGGTCATGCACATGCGCTCATGTCATATTCAAAGAATTGTGGAGCTCACCGCCCACTTCCTTCCTCTGTATCACATTGTGCAGTTCAAAGGCTTGTTGAAGCCGATCTGTCAAGAGGTAGAGGTCAGGGTTGACTCTGTTTCCCACATCCACGCATTCAGCCTCTTTAATCTTCGGGTGATGATTTCAGGATAACTGAGGGGGATTTATTGGCAGGAGACTGTTACTTTATCATTCACCTCCACAGACAGAGTTCAAATATAATCCCAACAAAACTCATAATACGATGATTTTGCCTCAAAAATTATATTTTGACATGTAAAATACACACGCATAACATCAGTGGCCACTGCATTTTTTTGTAGGAGGAGCTTTTGTATTGCAGCAACTCGATTCTGAAGTAGAAAGGGACGCCAAAATGAGACGTTCTGACGCCATCCAGCATCATGGTGCATTTGCAGAATCGTGCCTTTCAGTGAGGAGAGACAGAAGAATAAAGTACTAAATTCAGAATATGAGTGTACAGATTAACAGATGATTTGTGCTGGTTAAGATTTAACAGAAATCTCTGGCACTTTGGACACCAGAGGGAGATATTTTGTGATAGAGGGACATCTGAGTGGCAGCAGGATAAATCCCTCTATGGAGTCCAGACACTGGTGGTGGTGGTGGTCGCTGACTGCTGAGGCTGCTGAGGCAGATGAGGTTGATGAATCAGTAAAGACTAGGTGGCGATGGGGAGGTGGAGGGCTTGCATGACGGCAGCAAGAAAGAACTATATTTACAAAAAGGAGCAGTGAGATGAAGTTGGCTGATTGTGAATCAGCTGATGACTCATTGGACCTACCCAGACAATGACACCTAGAGATAGTGAGCTCTGGATAAGTGTAGGTGCAGGGAATAACCACACAGGAGCCCTGAAGGACAAGATTTTTTGCCAGTATGTTTGCAGTCCATTGGCCATGAGAAGACTGGACATCATCACCGAAAACAAGAATAAACATTAATTTATCATTACATGTAGCATGAAGTATTTTATGCAATGGTATTTTAGTTTAAGACTCACCATGTAACAACAGAGAAGGAAACCAAAGCCCAAGCTTCATCACTGATGAGGAAGAGAAATTTAAAGTGTGAAAAAGGCGAGGAAAAACAAGTGAAACTGCATTTCTGTTGTAATTTTGCACACATAGCAATAGTTCACTCACCTCTGAATCCTTTTAATGGCTGTTTGAATACACTTTTGCTTACAGTGCTTGTGAGAGTTGTGCCTGTCTTTGGATGTCATCTTTATACTCTAGCTTTATTGAGCACATAATGTCAGACAACGCCTAAACAGCTACACCACAAGTCTAGGAGACAGATTTTGTTGCAATATGTGGTTACTTTCGTGTTGTTTGTCACCTGTTTAACTTCTGTTTAACTTCTTTTTCACCAACAAATGACGACAGAGAGAAATACACAACACTGAGTTCCAGTAATGCACAGACGAGAGTTAAATGAAAAAGATGAATCAACAAAGGGCCGTTGTGTTTAAAGACCATCTAAAGGCCATCCAGTCTGTAAGAGACAAAACTTATATAGGAGGAGGAATGATTTACAAGATATATTTCTAACATTACCACATGTAAATTTAGCTTTTTATCAGTCTGGGATTTTTTTAAAGGGAAATACAACCATAACCACATTTGCATTTGAAGAAATCAAAACTGGGGAAAAAGCTATTCCTAAATTTCACAGCTTTGCTGTTTAGGCACATTTTGAAGGGTCATGTGATGAGCAGTCAAATGAGGTCAAACCTCATAAAGAAGAAGTGGTATGTTATGGATTTAAATAGCTTTTAATGTAATACTGCAGTGCCATTCTTGTAAGTCTGTGAACTGAACAAAAAAAATCTATTTGATGAAAAAATTCTGCGTTATTGAATGTCATGTAAGAGCCCTGAAACACCAAGCCGGGAGCCATTGGTCAATGTCTGGCCGTTGGTGAGTGTCTGTCGCCCTAGTTTTTGTGGTGTGTCCTGCACCACTGGCACGAGTCGGCCCTTGTCAGCTTTTTTGTTTAAGCTGGTTCAGCATGTTGACGCAAAAAACAGTTAATGTCATGAGGGGATGAGATCATTATATTAGGTAAGATTGTTTTTTAACCATTTAGTTCTTTAACATAAATATTTCGGAATTGTTTGTGTTTTTCAGTGGCACACAGTAAATGTAATATGTTCTTTCAGCATCGGGTTGGGTTATTAATGTGCTAACTGGCTAACTAGCGTCTTGAATCCATCCTGTCAGTCTTCCACTTTCCCTTTTTTAATGACGAATACAGACTACCGCCGTCTGCTGGTATGATGGGTTATATCCTCTCATGCAGGCACAGGATGTATGTGCTACTTGGCTGTTGGCTATAATCATTGCAGTGTGTTCAGTGCAACTTTTTGGCAAAGACCCAGGCGATGTCAAGGTGTAGGCATTTGCATGGTCTGTCATGTAAATTAAATTTCTGTATAGAGATGCATGAAAAACTGATGGAAATAGTCTGAGAAACAAACCCTGGGAGGACACCAAACACTCAGTATCATGATGATGATACAACCCAATTCAAGAAAGTCTCACTCCTCAGCAAAGCCTTATCAGGGTGTAACTGTTGCTCAACAAAATTAAGCAGAAACACAAAACGGGGCAACATTTTCAGCCTCACTAACTTCCACTTTATTCACCATAGGCGTTCACCCAGTTGGCTGCTCTTGATTGGTTCAGTTTTATACACTGCTGCAGTTCCGTGGAAGAAGAGTAGACAATGAAGATCACTGTGGACTAGCATTCACCTTTAAGTCTTTATTGTTTGGTACAGTCCTAAATGTCACATTGTGGGTAATAACTCAATCTCTAAACAGGAGATTGAATCAGAAAAGAAAACAGAAGTTTCAGCTCCAGCACAGATGGCACGGGAAGTAAATTGGCAAACATGTTGAGAAAGACGAGGAAAAACACAAGTGAAGTTATTCAGCTGTGCAGCTGTGCACAGTTTTACAGAGAGCACAGTGGTACAAGTGAATAATTATGTATTACTACACACATTTAAAGCCCTGGTTCTGAGCAATTATAAACTGTACACTATCAGTGTATTACTATAGCCAGATACACAACTTATAATAATGTAATATACAATTATACAAATAAATAGCTGCTGCTTTTACAGGCTGTTCTCATGCACTGTCCAAATGTATACCCACAAAGAGTAATGCCCCACAGTTCATATGTGACCCATGTAAGCATGAACCTGTGATCTATAACCAATGTAAGTGGGAAGGCTGTGATCACATGACTAATGCGTTGAAGGGAAGTTAAGAATGAAAGTGTGTGTAAGGAGGCAGGCAGGGGTGGAGGATGGGTCAACCAACACAGGACTTTCCCCTAAGGAACCTAACCCTAACACTAACCCAACACAGGACTTTCCTTCAGTGTAAACCGTGTGAAACTAAGAGAAAGCAAGTTATTCTAATGTGCATAGTCACCATGTAACCTTTAGTAAAATGAACTTCCATGACTTTACTTTAAGTATGTAACTTTACTGTAAGTCTATAAGGTCTTTTTGTAAGATATCATCCAAACTGTTGCATGAGGATATGTTGATTTGTGACGCCAAATAGCCGAAGGCAGGGATACTCAACTTGCTTTACCTGGGGGTCACTTTTGCAAAGTTACAGGAGGCCAGGTGCCAGTTACAGCAGCCATGGACCGGTCATGTGTAAGTAGAACGTGTGTAGGATTTGAGGAGGTTCGGAGCTTAGCAGAAACACCTGTCAGGTGTCTGGGGGTTTCTCCCCTGGCATGTTTCTCTCAAGCTCTAATTTGATGCTTGGTATGCACTCTATTTACATTCAAAGCACAAAATATACCACTGTGAATCAATTTATTATTAATCTAAATTAGAAAATGGTCAGCGGGCCACCCAGCACCCTACTGCGGGCCATATTTTCCTGGGGGCCGTAAGTTGAGTATCACTGGCCTAAAGCCATGGAAAATGGTCCCTAAAAAACCAAAATGTAAAAGTTCCCTGTTCCTCCTGAAAGAGACAAGTTCAAGTCCAAACAGATTTGCGAGATGCAGCTTCTCTGCTATTTTGTATAATCCACATTTGCATATACATTATCCATGTCATTCATACTCTGATCCATCTGACCGAGAGGGGCCTGCAGAGACAGAAGTTGGGTTTAATTAAAAGTATCCCTCTGAGTTTTATTTGTTACTTCTTTTTAGATTAAACCCAGCTGAATGGGATCACTGTACCTCAGTGTTGATGTAGATAGGTTCATCAATAGCCTTCACTTCAGGAAGTTTCTTGTTCTCTTGTTTGTTGCAAGATGCTTCTCTGAAAAGACAAAGCAGACCTGTTTGGACTCTTTGCTTCTTGCACATACTTCTCTCACATACACAGTGACAAAAAGGATCATTTGTTCTCACAGTTGTGCCATGTAACAAACCTTTCTGCTTGGTTTGATGATGCTCGGCTAAAATTTGCATAATATCCAGATTCCTCCCTGGTGAAAGATTGTGACCTGTGAAAGCAGGTTAAAGGATATCAGTGTATCATCTGTCTAAAAAACGATATTTAAAACAAACATATTTAAAGACCCCCTCCAGACATGTTATATATGAAAATGAACATACACATGAAATACTGGATGATTTTGTCTGGTATGGGTTTCCACAAACAAATACCTAATTAAAGGTTATTTAAATTACATATTTTACTTATTTTCCACATCAAACAATTGGTTTCCAAACTAGTTTATATGTACACATCTTTAACTCAGAGTTAAGGTGAGAAAAGTTCTTATTCTCTAATGTCAACCTGCACATACTTTCCTTCTCACAGTGACGGTCAAACATCCAAGTGAATTAAAAATAACCAAAACACATGTTTGAGTGGAGGGGGACTATATAATGTCTGCACATTGATTACACACGAAAATCACGAGAGTCACAAGAAACAAACACTCAGTTTACATACAAGCTAAAAGTGATGTTACCTTTTGTGTCTTATGTAAAAGACGATTCCGATGACAAAAAGAATGACCAGAATCACAGCAACTGGTACAAAGATGGCCGTATACCTTGATGCTGACTGCGGACTGACTGTGGAGAAAAGTGCGATTGCTGTGAGCAGTAATCTTTTATGATAGCGGAAACTTCATTACAGATTTTGACATATTAAATGTTCAACACTGAAACCGTCCTGAGAAGCAAACTGTGTAAGCTTACCTGTCACTGTTATAAAGGTGGGTAACTGTGGTGGTAGGGCTGTAATATCTAAAAAACAAATTAGTCTTCATGAGAGTTACATTTTTTGTTATAGCTGTTAAAATAATATAAGGTCTATAAGCAAATTGAGGACTACAGAAAAAAATGAAAGAAATGTGAATGAGATAATAAAACCAGAGAGGTTACCTGGCTTGAAAGTGAATGATGGAACACCTGGACCTGTGGGAGAAACATGTGAGGCATTCATTTAATTTCAGGCTCATATAAATGAAGATATAAAATATATATTATTTAAATTCTAAAAAAAATTTGAATTGTGATTAAAAAAAATTAATGAAATTCTTACTGGATACAAAAATGGAGACAAGTTCTTTGCTGAAGCTCCATTTTTCCTCATTTCCAAAAACTCTCAGGTAGATGTTTGGTACATTTTCCGTGACGTTTAAGATCTGGAGGGTGCAGTTACCTGCAGTTTTATTTCCAATGAGCTTGGTCCTTCCTCTGTACTTCTCAATTACATTTGAGTCATCCGGGTGAAAAATGAATGCATGTTTGTTATTGTCAGAGATTTCAATGGGACTTCGCACATTCATTTTCCACCAAACTTTAACGTCTTTGGTGTGGAATTTAGTCGGATAGGTAAATGTACATGGTATGGTCACGTCTGAGCCCAGTGTTGCATTAATCCTTCTAGTTACGTTAACAGACCAGTCTTCACCTGTGTTCGAAACCAAACCAGAATTTATATTCATCAATGTGCACTTCATACTTCATACTTCAAATTGAAAACAAACACAACAACTTAAAATGTCACCCACCTTTTGAATTAGAGGCCATGATGAATATGAGACCAAGATTTATCAGGCCCGGCAGCTTCATCTGATCCAAGAAAGACATCCTGAGGTTATAATCCTGAACTCAGTGAGTGAACTCAGTTTTACAGAAGTATCTCTGGTAGCCTACATGCTACAAAGCTCTGAAGTTAAACTGCCTGTTTCCTGCGTTAAGTAAATACTCACCGTGAGAGCAACCCAAAAGAGTGCTTGTGCTTTGCCAATGTGTATTAGATCTTGACAATGATGTGAAATTGTTGGGTGTGTTTCCTGTTGCGGTGTGACTTGAAAAAAAGGAAGCTGGTTCAAAAATGCACACTGACCATAGTACTTGTCATTGAAGTTCAGGGAAAATATTGCACATATACACATCAACAATCTTCAGGGAGTAAACTGCAACAGTTGTCATATCATTTGAAAATACAAATGCTATATACAGTAAATATGTGCAAGGATATTAACTTGACGTTTAAGTATATTTTTACATCTCTCTGACTTGCCAACATTTTTTTTTACACTCAAAATAACAACTCAGAAGTGTGAAGATACTAAGGAAGTCCCACACTGCATGATACACTTAAAATAAAATGAGAACAATGCAAATAGACACTCCTCAAATTGATCTAAAAAATTCACATCACAATAAAAACACCCACCAAAACAAATGAAGATTCCTCCTCAGTAACCTCTTTTATTGCCGTACCTACTGTGTATATGTGTGTATGTTAAAGTGTACCATGAAAACTGCTTTTACAAAATAATCAAAAGACCTCGTAGAGGTAATTTTATGTGTGCGTTTTTTTCCATTGATTTCTATTAAAAAACAAATACAAACACTAAGGAGCTGAAATCACCTTAACTATACTTCCGAAACACAGGTAATTTGGTGATATCCCTTCAGTTGTGGTCTTGATCGGTACTGAAATAAAATCCAGAGTCCTCTTTGTCTTAGATTGAGACAAGACCGGATAAAAAAAAGTGGTTGCATCTGAGACGAGTCCAAGACCTTCTAAAAGTGGTCATGAGAAAGAAATCTAATATATAACTGAGTAACCTCCTGAGACCCAAACTTTTGTTTGGTATGCATTTTTCATTTCTCCTAGGTATTTGGGATTAGTAGGACTGGATAAGTATAAAAAATGAAACATTCAAAGAGCTGATAATTAAGTCCTAATGTCCTCAAACTACTTCCTAATTAACAGTGTCTTAGCTTGTTTCTGTTGCTAAAATTAGTAAAGTTTGTGCAGCATATCAAACTACTATTAAATCTGATCAAGTTTTGGACCTTGTCCACTTTTGTGTTGGGACCGGCTGCAGACTGACTTGGCAGAAATGGCTGCCATCTTGTTTTTACATGGATTAGTGTATTGTGCTCTTACTACCACTAGAAGGCACAAAAAAGTGTCCATGAATGAGGACAACAGGTAGCCTGGAAATCCAGACCCAAATCTAGAAAGATCTGGGGTCTGGCCATGAGTAATGAAAATGGCCCAACTCGAGGGGCGGCACCAAGCATGGATTTGTAAATATCACTGCACGCAATTGGATAACACTAGGACCAATCAGAACAATTCACAGGGTGATGTGTCCAGAGTTTAGCTACCAGCGGAGCTAACTGGTAGATTAGACTCTTGCCGTATCCGGTCGGCAAAACAGCAAAAACGCCCTTCTTGCAAAGGAAAGACTCGAGCGCCGTCTTCTGTTCCTCTTTTAGAGAAAAAGCCAAGTCTAACTCGTTCATTGTAGCGGCCAAAGCCGTTTTAAACAACTGGTGTTCATCCGTAGCCATCTTGCAATGTTTACTGACTGATTCCGGACTTCGTTGTCGCAGCGCTGTCGTCATCTGTTTAGCTCGCCTCTGGCCCGCCTATATCAGATACACCGATGTGATTGGTGCAGCTTGGTTTCATGGGCATAGGTAATGGGCATCATTACTGATTGCCAGAGTGACTCGCTGAGCAAATTCAAATTGTGCTCTCACGAGAACTCTGGATTTCCAGGGTAGACAACAGGTCCAGGTCAAGCAGAATGAAGTATAAGGTCCAGTAAACCCAAAATGTAATGTCCTCATATGAGGACACAGGGTCTCAGGAGGGTAAATGTCCTTCTGTTGGCTGTATATTCACTTTAGAGTATTTGAATACTGAAGACCACATTTATTTGGCATTGTTGGGGAGCCTTAATTTACAGTTGGACCGGTCCAGGCTATTGTTTCATGGATTTAAATGTACCAGACATGTCAGCTTAACATTAATTCTGTGAAATCTATTCTAGCATAGGATAACAAAAATAAGTTTTAAGATTAGTAATGCCATTTACACCAAACTCCTACCCTACTTTATTTCAGAATAATGAAGACAGATGGAGAATAAATAGATACAAAATAGGATGTAGTTTCTGCAGGATGAATTTTCTCCTTGGCAACTATCATGTTTTCCCAAATGATAGCTTTTTTAGGCTTTCTGTTATCCCAAGACTTGGAAATCAGTGCATATAGCTCCCACAAATGGGGAAGAGAAACCTTCCCCAACTTTGGGCTGAGCTTTGTATGTCTGAATCACAGACTAGTTCAAATGCAGATAAAGCAGAGTACATGGTATTCTACACCTCCAACAGTGACTACACTGCCATTTAAACTTAAAATAGCACCCATATTACTTTTGTTCAGTCATAAAAATACTTAGGAATTTGGCCTGAAAGCAGATCATCATTCAAGATTCATATTCAACATTTGACTCAAATATTAAAAAATTTTGAACTCATCACTGTTCTCTGTATCACAAGGTTGGCGATGGATTTCCTTACAGTCAAGAGGAAAAAACCATCTCATGTTATTCATGTTATCTACCTAACCTTAAATGTCCAATATACTCACTAATGTTGGCAGAACTTGTTTCAGGTACATGCATGCTATTAAATGTCATGAACTGCAAACTGCCCTCAAACTTGAGTCTTACATCCCCCTGGGATATTTTAAAGCTTTATTATCTGGGACCGTAATCACAAACACTAGTCCATACCCATTGGTAGCTTTGTCACCTTCTACCTATGCCAATCCTCAATGCCTATGTGCAGTTTCACATAGATTGACCACGTCAGTGAGTAGAAAAATGTGGGACAGACAGAATGACTGACTGACAGAATGACACACTGACAGTTTCCGTGATTATGTACAGCATACCATACCATGACTTAGTCATACCAAATATTAGAAGAAAAAAACCAAAAACATTCAGCCTCAGGGGGAGCCACAGCGATCGGTCGCATTTTAGCCATTTTTAAGCATTTTTCTGTTGTTATAGCGCCACCCAGTTGCCAATTAGAGTTAAATTTCTCCAGTCACCTTGAGGTGTCCTGTTCTACATATCTACCAAGTTTAGTAAAAATAGATATGGCAGTTAGGCCTAGATAAGAAACTAGCTCTCTAGCACCCCCATTTTGTTTGATGGGGTCAATAATGGAGGGGTCCCCTCAGATTATGTGTGGTCATATGCCTACAAAGTTGTGTGGTGATCGGTGAAACCCTTGAGATGTTATACACCTTTATGTGATGAGTCACGCCCTCCGCAATATTCATTGCCTTATAGAAGCTCAGTTTTAGTAAGTTTTCCAACTTTTGCCAAGAGGGAACTTTAGATATTGGTCCCTAGATTATGTTCACCAAGTTTCATGCAGATCGGTCAAACTTCCTAGGAAGAGATCGATTTTAAGTGTTTTTCAAAAAATTCAAAATGGCGGAAAATCTCTATAACCGGAAGTTATGGGTTCTTGAGGCAAATTTGTTCCTCATGAGGAGAGGCATCTCTGTGCAGAGTTTCATGTCTCTACGACATACGGGGCATGAGATATTCCCATTCAAAGTTTGCAATTTCAATCGGTTGCTATAGCGCCCCCCCTTCGGCCAATTGATGTAATATTGCTTCATTCGCATCCTCCCATGACCCTCTACCACTGTGCCAAATTTCACATGGATTGACCAAGTCAGAGAGGAGAAAAACGTGGAACAGACACACACACACACAGTTTTTGTCATTATATAGTAAGATTTTGAGAATCTCCTAACTTAGCCTAGAAATTTAAGTAAGTAAGGAGTCCTAGCTTAGGAGTGATTTAGGAAAGTTCTCAGAGCAACTATGAGCAAAGAAGGGACAGAAACGTTTACCTTAGTGAGCCTGTTGCTAGGTATGACACATTCTTTTAACAGATGTGATTGGTTGTCACAGACAAGCCCTTTTATGACCCTGCAACATGTGGACACCCAGTGGAAATGAAATGCACTGCCGACTGTGAAAGTGTTGTCATTGTTAGAGTGATCACTCTGCTGAAGGTTGAGACAGACCCAAGTCATCACAGCTGCAGTGTTGTCATCATTTTATTTCTGGTATTTAGTGTTAGGTGGGAAATGTGTGTGGATCCCTAATGACATTAGCCACACATATTATCCCTGCATGATCTAATCTGTAGCATTTCATTTACTCACTGTCATCCAGCATTTGGAGAACATTTCTACGACCTTTTCTGTGTTTCCACCATTTTACTCCTGTGCTTAAGAAACTCTTAAGCCCATTAGAAGTCCTCCTCCCTGCTCCTTACACTATTTTAAGGTCTAAGATGCTCTGTGAACTTTTATCTTAAGGACTTAGTCTTAACTTTAAGGTGAAATTCTAAGAAAATTTTGCTGATTGTGTTCTTATAAATGTGTTTTGTTCACTAGCCTCTCTTTGAAAAGAGGCCTTAATCTCAGTGAGACTGCCTGATTA